AACAACTTCATGTGTGTTCACGTATGAAAGCCACCTTCCCTTCCAAGTGTCACAGAAAAAAATACAGCTAAATATTGAAGCTCTCAAGTACTTAGAAGTTCACTTACTAAAAAATCAAAGCAGAAAAAAAATCTTACTTGTATGAGGTCTAAAATGCCAAGCTCACTTTCTGAAGAATCCACACAGAAGACAAAATACAAGGTGGCATAGTGTCGGTAAATTAGTTTGTTGTCAGATCCACCTATTAATCTAAACAGGAAAAAAAACAGGAAAGCTTAGTTAGCCTCTCAGGATAAGCTGGGCAAATCCTCACAGTTATTCCAGTTAATAGGAGGCCTATTGTTAATGGTTGGCTGGAACTTTCCCAAATCCAACCGTACCACAACTTTTATTTTGTGATATAATTATGTTGGAAGAATACTAGGTACCAAACAGCCCAAATTACATTTATCACAGAAGCACAGTTATTGTTATCCATATGGATATTAATTATATCAACATATGTACCATTTTATTAAAATCAATTAAAAAAGATAATGCAGTGTCATTTAAAAAAAAAAAAAGTATTGAATGTACTTCCATTACACACTAACAGGCACCGTACAAGGATTAATCTGCTTTACAGATTAACAGAGCACATGTCTATGAATTCTTCCCTGCCCTTCTCCGAGCGGCATCAACGGGAAACTATAACATAGACTGGCATTTGGATTACAGAAATAGCCTTAAGTCAGGTTTATGATCCACTTAATAACAAAGAACACGTAACACTCACATGCTACAAAATGCTTGGTATCTTAAGAAATAACACTGTACTACAACCAATAGTTTGTGATGCAATGATAAAGTCACAGAAGCAATTAAGTTTTTATGGACTCACTAATCATCAAGTTACTAAACAAGAAGATAAGAGGTCTGAACAGGTATTTCCTTCCACTCTTCTCCTACAGCCTTCCCAAAGAAGGTACATAAATCATGTTTCTTCAGATCACTAACATTTGCTTTGAGCAATAGGAGGCTCATTCAAATAGAAACGAAAATATTTTGTAGCTTGAGGCTTGTGCTATGTATATAATTCTTCCTTAATCCTGTACCAGAACTGAATCACCCATCTGGAGTACCATGTCTCATCCCTTTATCACAGGGAGAGAATACTTAAATAAATAAAAAGAACAAGAAATCTTTTAGGCCACTTTTGCTTCAGCTCGTTGTTTTGCATTAATGCTTGGGTGATGGGAGGGAGAACCCTGAAGAGCAAGAACTATGTTTAAGAAGTATCAGACAAAAATATTACCAAAAAAAAATGTGGCAGGGGAAAGAAATGGCAAATATTTGTGCTTTATTTAGCCAATTCTTCCAAATACTTCACTTCACAGAGTTAGCGTATATATAAACTATTGAGGCCTTTGGGTAAAGTGCAAACTACAAAGTGATCCCTGTCTTGGAAAAACAAAAAGTACTGAAAAAATATATTGATATGGTAACTCTGGAATTGAGCAGTAGGAATAAAGCCAGAATTGTATCTTCTGTCTTAGTTTCTTTCTGTTGCACAGCTGTGATTTTTTAAAAAAGGCTCCAAATGGCTTGTCTTTCACTTACACAACTCAGGCCAGCATGTTCCAGCCTGAAATCACCTCCAAGAACCTAAAGACAAATCAATCATTGGAAGAGAACTATTTTAGTTTAAAAAAATAATAAAAAAAAAAAAATCAGGAATCGTCTTGATCGGACATGGTACAGGTAAGCATTTAACTGACTCTGCACTAAATTTAGGCATTAGCATACTAACTTTCAGTTATCAGAAATTTCCACAATTAAAGTACTTAACACGCTGTGACAATCTCTGTTTAGACTGGAGACCATGAGCATACTCTATTGTGACCACTTTTCCTAGAAGGTGGTTTTGTAACTATTTAATCTTGATGACAAATATCTCAAAATAAAACACTTCCATCTCAGAATTCATTCTCTTCAACTAAAGCAAAACCACATTAGAAAAAACAACATGATGATTCGAGAAATAATATTTTGTGTGTGTCTTCCAGAGACAGAAGACATGTGGCTTTCCTCCTACCTTACTCTATCTAATGAAAGAATCTTGGTTTCTGAATGGAGACTAGAAATTCCTAGCTTGATTTAGGGAAAATGGTTAGGTATCATCTGCCTGCTTCTTTGCCATCTTGTGTCTGAAACAATTATAGCACTAGATATGGCACTGTGTCAGTTACTGCTCTAGAAAAAACAGTTTTACTGCCTAACTCATATTGATACATACATATATACATGTATATGTATGCTTCAGTTAGTAAAGAATATGTATGTGCAACATATTAGTCTTTCTGTATTAAAATATCTCAAGTGATGCAGCATTTACATTAGAACTGTACAAACAAGTATATTATAATCAGAAGTAATTATATTTGCTAGCCAGTATTTATACTTACAATCCTCCTTCTAGGAAGTTACAGACATTTTCATCACGTTTTGATACTAAGTGGAAAGTTTCTCTGATAACTTGTTGCTGCGTATCTTCACTCTATGAAAGAAAACACATTTTGCTATCAAGCTAAAATGGATTCATTAACAATGCACACTATTCACATCTAATAAATACAACACAAGGTATATAGCACCCTCAAATGATTTCTGAAGCCTCAGATCTGCCAATTTACAAGCTGCATATCACTGCTATCATTTCAGCACAAAATATTTTTGCAGGTCACAAAAGAATACGTTACTGATAAACAACTGTAGAAAAAAAGTTACTGTTTTTAAGAAACTTCTAAGGAAAAATAAATTCTAAAAACAGTTTCTTCAAGTGAACAGAAAGTCTTCTCAAATATTATGAAATTTTCTTATCTCCACCATAGCCTGAACTTCAGACATACTTTGAAAACTACTGTAGAAAGTGGATGCTTCCCCTTGCAGGAAAAAAAAAAAACATGAGATTTGCCTCCAGTACTGGTTCAATCGATGTTAAAGTATGTGTAAGTTTCAAAATGACCATAAATAAACCTGTCTCACTGAAGCCACACTCAAAAAGATAACCAAGACAACTGCACTGGTCTCTGTGCACCACAAAGCTTTAGGGAAATCACCTGATCACATAATTTTACTCTCATGTGCTGTATTTTTGTGGAGACACAAAAGTAGACACATTTGAATGGAAAATGACAATGGAAGTTAACTGTTTCACACTGATACATGTTCTGTATACCTTTCCAAAGTGTTTCACTTACTGGTTACCTCCACACAGAGGAAAAAAAAATAAAACCAATCAACTTCTCTAGTAAGTTCCTGTAGCTCTGCATTGGAAGTGACCAAGAATAGAGTGGGAATGCACACAAGGGTGTAATGATTTTGGTTGGGATAGTTTTCTTCTTAGTACCTGCTGCAGGGCTCTGTTTTGGCTTTAGTCTGAGAACAATGCTCCTAACACACCAATTTTTAGTTGCTGCTACATAATGCTGACCCTGATCAAGGACTTTTCAGTTAAACCATGACAAAGGGCAATGCTTATCATGAAAATTAAAATATACCGTTTTAATTTTTAAATCAGAAAGAGTAAATACAGAAAGACATCTGCTTGGTAACCCAGAACTGGGACAAAGAAGAAAATGGGTTAACAAACAAGTATTAGTATTTCCCAGTATTGCCTTTCTAAAGAAAAGGGATCAAATTCAGTAGCCCATAGCAACAACTTCTGTCAGTTACACTCCTCCAATTAAAAGCCTGACTGTGGAAACAGAAGTGTCGCAGTTATCATTTCTGCTTCAATATGCAGAAATAAGATACACCCCTTCCAATAAATATGACTTCTGTAGTAGCCAGAACTGAAAGTATGTAGCCATAAAACCAAGTCAGCAATAGCACTACTGAACAAGAATATTTTGTTTACACTATCTGGGGAAGCATCAGTCGTTTTTTGTGTTTTAATGCCCAAGGTTTAATGCCCAGAGCTTAGTTTATCTGCTAGCAGATACACTACATGATAAAAACACTGCCTTAATTTTTTTTTTTATCCTTGAATGACATTGTTTCCACGTCTCAATTCTCTGTGGCTGCACTTCCATTCAGATCAAGCCCTTGTGCTGCATTTTCAGACCTGCCTTGCTACTTGCCTTCTCCCCAGTAACAGAATATACTTTTCTATTCCATCACATTTCTTTTTCATGTCAACTCTATTTTTACAGTATTCTGAAAGTTTCCAAGGGAAGAGGCTCTGCTTATTTGTGAACCTGTGGATCCCATAAAACCCATCTTCGCATTTCTGACACCCTTGCCACAGCACTGATACATGCCGCACTACATCAGAGATGCCGATTAGGCTAAAAATCATGGCAGCTCGGCGCTTCCACAGATAAACTCAGAGAGCCGAGTCCGCCGCGGAGCAAAACTCCCTTCCTCCACCCTCGGTGTGCCAAAGGGTAATTTCCAGAGAAAAGAACGGTGTCTGGAAAACCTGGTTTCGGAACGTCATTTCCCTTACCGATACGTCTCACAAGGCCCCAGCACACCCATTTCCCCACGCCCTGAGCCCTGAATCGCGGAGCAGCAGTCACCACGATTCACCCCAGGCAGGGGGGGCAGGGCCGGAAGAGTTCCCGGTTACAACCGCCCCTCACATCTCCCTTCCCCAGGCCTGGTGACAGGCCCCGCGCGGCCGCGGCCTCCCGTACATAGCGCTGGTAGAACTTGGATAGCCGCGGCTTGCCGTGGTTGTTGAAGATGAGGATGGCTTTGATCATGGTGGGGCGGCGGCCGCCGGGATCGCTGCCCCTACTCCTCCTCCTGCCCGCCCTTCACGCCCCACTCTCAGGCCGCAGCAACTGCTCGCACTGCAACACGCCGCCGGCGGCCCGTTAGCAGCTGAACGTCCCGAACCCGCGCAACCTCGCGCAACGCCCCGCCCCGTCACCTGACAGGAAGGCAGTGGCCCACAAGGAAAGAAACGCCTTGCGCAGCCACAGGCCCTCCCGCCGTGCAGCGTTACTTCCGGTCAGCTACTCCCCTCTGCAGTAGGATGGCGGAAGTGGAGGAGCAGCCGGTGCCTGCGTCGCCTCAGAGCGAGGAAAGAAGCGAAGCCGGGGAAGAAGCCCCTGACGGCGGGGCTGCGGCGGGGGGTGCTGATGCGGCCCCTCCTCCGGCCGGCTCACCGGGCACCGAGGAGGCCACTGGAGACACGAAAAAGAAAAGTAAGGGTGCGAGAAGCCACCGCCGGGGCAGGTGGGCGGGTCTGTGGATGACGGGCAGGTGCGCTGGCCAATCGGAGGTGGTGAGTGGGAGGCTCCGGCCAGTGGGGGCGCACTGTTGACGCTCGGTAATCCCCGCAGTTGACGTCCTGCTCAAGGCCGTGGGCGACACCCCTATCATGAAGACCAAGAAGTGGGCCGTGGAACGAACCCGCACCATCCAGAGCCTCGTCGACTTCATCAAGAAGTTCCTCAAGCTAATGGCCTCTGAGCAGCTGGTAGGCGCAGCTGGTAGCCTGGCCTACACATCCCGGGGAGGGCAGGAATAGCCGTGGCAGGGAACTCTGCACACCCCGAGGCCGAGTCGTTTCACCTTGTAGGGATGCTATATGTATGTAGACCACGGCTTTTGGTAGACAACTGGTGTAGGGACACCAGGAAAACTATTCAAAGTACACACAGCTGTGCACATTGACATGAGCCATCGTGGTGCAGTTTGGATGTGCTCAGGTGCTCAACTCCATGCAACCTATGGGCTTTTTGCAGTGTCTGTTCTTGTCTAATGCTGCCATACAGAGCTGTGTGCAATGTGAAATGCAATGATGCGTTTCAGTGAAAGGTTCATACGCACAGTGTAATTGTAGAAGTCAGGTATACAGAAGGGAGTATTTGGGGGAAAGTCTATAAAGTGTTTGGGGTTGGTGTTCTGAATATTGATGTCTGTTTTCTTCAAAACTTCTCAAACAGCTTACTTACTAGTAGGACTGACTTCTCTTTAAAATGGAGTACCTTAGAAACATTCACAGTTTGGCAGCATATTACCAATATTGCTTATGTGTTCCTTCATGTGCAGCCCAAGTGGCCTTCTGATAAAATTGGAAGAGCTGGAACAGAGTCAGAAATATGATTGTACTAGTTTTTTGCTTAACAGGGATACATACATTTCAAAGCTTTCATTTAAGATGTAAAGTTAAAACTGGACTCATTAAAACAGTCAAATGTGTAGCCAAAGTGTAGATTAAATCACCCTGTTCTTGGTCTACAGGCACTTATTTAAACATATAAGCTAAAGAGTTTCACTATGTATCTCTTATCTAGAAATCCTGAAGGGTTTGGGTTTTTTTTCCCCAAAGAAGGGGAAAAAAGAATCTTCTATCTCAAAGAAGACTAATAGTTCAGGTATTTATTGTTCATAGGTATTATCAACAGTGTTCATAGGTATTATCAACAGTTTAATTCATTAACTTCCATCTCATTATCTCGGGGGGGGGGGGGGGGGGGGGAATACAGGAACATGGAGTCTTCCAGTGTGGTTTAAGCTTACAGCTATACTTCAGGAACAAAGCCCTGGGAATTTAATAACTCTTCTTTGGAAATAGCAGAGTTTACTGTACTACACATCACGATCTCACGCTGCAGATTCCAAGGCCCTCTTAGACATTATGGAGTAGCTACTGTGTGCATGTATGTACGTTTGGTAGAGGAAGTGAGAAGGATGACTTTAGAACAAAAAGTTTTGTAATTTCTGTGACTGCTGTTATAACTGAGCAAATTTGGGATAGTGGGAATGGTTTACATACTTGAAATGAGAGTAAAGACCAAAACAGTAGGTTCATTTTGTGCTGCTGTATGGGAGGCTGATGAGTCAGTTTGCTGCAGAAGGAAAGCAGCACAGCCAGTCAAGGGTAGCTCCTGGAAGTCATGTTACCCCTCCACACCAAAGTAGAAATACTAATTTGTGGTATTTTGGTGTGGACTCTGAAGATCATAAATGGTGAACAGCGGACAGATTTACCCAGTTCTGGCAGCAGAATGTTTCTTCCGTGTAATCTGTGAGAGGTATGGGAGCTCTCCATCTTCTATTTTCTTTTTCTTCCAGTTCATATATGTAAACCAGTCTTTTGCTCCATCTCCAGACCAAGAAGTTGGGACCCTCTATGAGGTGACTTTCTCCTTAAATATCCTTTCCAACTGTGCTTAGCAGAATTTGCTGGTATACTTCTGGGACTTGAAAATTGTTACTATGCCTAGCAAAGCTGGTGGTCTCTTGCATTTAATGTAATGTAATTGATAATGACAGATATGTATAAGTATGATTTAGAGAGACATGACTTCATACAATCCCTGTAAATGTATTCATTCACATACAGGATGTTGTCATGCCTCCCATTATGATGGAGAGCTTTGTTACCAGTAGCTATTCTATGACACAGTTATCTGGTGGGGGGGCTTTTTTGTTTGTTTTGATTCATGTATATGCTAGCCCATGAATAATCTTAACAGCCCTTGTCTTGATTTCTTTTGTTTTCTTGCAGTGTTTTGGAAGTGATGGCAAGCTTGTACTGCATTACTGCAAGACTCAGGCATGGGGATGAATGACAAGCAGTAGAATTGTTTAGATGTTGTCTTCAAAAATGGAAAAGGGAGAAACTTTCTTAAATTTGGCCTGTAAATACACAGAAAGAAAGATTTTTTTTTCATTTCTGCTTAAATGTATAAAAATTATCCAGATGAGTAGTGTAAAAGAAGACCTACCTAGGCTATCTGATCATGGAACTTTTTTTTGATGTACATCTGAGGTACAGAAGAAAATTGTATTTGCCATCTGTAAGATGGAGCCAGCTTCCTTGCTGCCAAATTCTCAGTTGCTGTATCTGAAGGGAAGCTATTTCATAGTTGTCTGAAGGGCTGACTAGACAGCTCTGTCACTCTATATGCTGTACTGAATATAAAAGTTCCTTTTTATTAAAAGGGATGTTTATTGTATATGTAGCGTGGAATTCGGTTTACTTCTGACATGTTGTACATCCATTATGTGGATTCTATTCTTTGTGAAGTTTTCATCTTGAATGTGAATTAATCTCTTTTTTTTTTCTTATAATTAATATATAGGTGTTGGTATATAATCTGATTACCTCACACTGTGCCTTCATCATGTCATTACCATAAGTACCTTGTTTATATGGCACAACATAATGATAGACGTCAGAAGTACTTTTCATCCTGCCCATATTGTATAGTGATTTGTTGAATGCTGAAAATTTCAGCAGTTCCCAAGGTGCTTCTTCTGGTAGTGTTTAATGGCTGGCATCTTTATCTGAATGCTGCAGCTAGCTGTTTCTTCAGTTAATGAAGAAATAGATATGAGTTGCTATAAACTTACCATCTGTATATTCTCGTTTTGGCTGCTGTTATTTTCCTGTTTCATCACCTGCATGTTCCCTCAACAAAATAGAATGCACTTTACAACATTTGCTAAATCCTTTATTTATTCTGGAGTTTGGATGGGCAGGATGGGTTTTTTTTGTGTGTGGATTTATTTTGTAGATGTTGTACAATCTTTTATGTTTAAGCCGAACTAAATTAAGTGGTAGCTCTTCACTTGCAGAGTGTTCTTACGCTGGAGGACAGTTTTGATCCCTGGCACAAAACACTTCTTCAGCACATACAGGCAAAATGGCCTGTTCTAGGTTAAAATGTCCTTGTACAATAGTTTTGAGCTGTTCATTGCTGTTTCATGTATAAGTGGCTCTTCCGTGGTCACTGCAACCTGTGTACCAAATTGTTTCCCTCCTTAAAGGACTACTGGTGAACTAATACTCAGCTTAACTTACTGGTGTTGCTGCAGTTTGCATGCATCCTGCATACATGGCACAGAAACACAGGCATGTGCCCTGAATGCTTGCTTGATGTGTTTTACCAGTTATTTCTTTTCATTTCATTTCCACTTATTTCTTAAGTGGAAAACCCAGATTCGTTGGATTAAGCTAACAAGGCAGAATTTGTTGTAAACTCAAATCTTCAAATAATGCATACTGTTGCTGTTTAGAACCCTGATCTTAAGAATATTTGTCTATTTAAGAGAACTGTTGTAGAGGTTAGCACTCTGATTCTGTCCTTTTGAGGAAATTCCTTTCTCAACTAGTGAGGCCAGTGTAACCTTGCACAGCCACTAGAGGGTACACAAGGACAAAAGTATCTGCATTTTTTTTTTCCGACCATTTTTGTAATATATCCACTTGCCAGCCTTACAAATAGAAGTAGTTTGTTCTCCTGTGTGGCAGTGTGTTTACCTAAGCTAAGCTACTAGTCCGTCTGTCTTTAAAGAATGTTCTATTGGTGCCTTTCACCTCATTTGATCTTAACAAATGAGACTACTGATATTCTGTAACTGTGCTCTTTAAAAATAATGCAAGAAAGTTGTTGGGGGTGAGGGGGGTATGTTTTTTTAAAGGGGGTTCTGTGGATATTTTATATATAGATTAAATTTTTTTAATAAAAAAACACAAGGTTTTAGAGGTGAAGGAGAGATACAGATCACTGTATCTTACCAGCAAATGTTAGAAGGTTGTCCTTCATGTTGAAACTATAGATAATTTCTATCCTCTGAAGCTGGGGGGGGGGGAGGTTTGCCTTGAACCCTTCAAAGTCCAACATAACACCCACAGTAATGGTCTTGATTTCTTTTATTCACCAGAAGAGTTTTTGAACTTCGATAACTTATGCAGGTTTCAATCATAGAATAGTTTGGGTTGGAAGGGACCTTCAAAGGTCATCTAGTCCAACTCCCTGCAATGAGCAGGGAATTATTAATCTATTTAAGGTTCAGCTTATTCCTTGGACAGTACTTAATTACTGTTTGCTCCAGCATTTTTTCTGCTCTTAACTTTCCTCCAACCCCAACTAATTATTTCTTGGCCCCTAGTTTACCAGTATACAGTGACTGCTCACCTGATTGAGCTCTTGCTGTTCCTGAATGCTCTAAGTGGCTGTCTTTATTCTGTTCCTTTCCTTTTAATGACTGCCAGTTCCAATTCTACTAATTCCCCCATGTAGCTTCAGTATCTTTATAGAAAGAGTCCTCCTTTTTGCTGCTTTTCCTTGTAGTTGTCCACCTTTTCACCTCAGGGGGGTGGTTGGTGCTTGCTTATCTCTGGTAACTCCTTAAGGACCATGGGCTCTCTCCATCTGGAGTCAAGGTGCGACTGGTTTAAGTGGTAAAAACTTTTCCTTGTGCATGTTCTTAAATAACAGATTTGGCTGCAAACATGCCAAGTAAGTAATGTATTGGATGAACAAATAAATAATTAGGAGCACAATGCGTGTAGAATTTGCAAAAGATGAATGTTGCAAATATGTTAAATCTCATATGTTTAAAAGTGACAGTTGTAGCATCTAAAATAATAGATTAAATAAAAGGCTTTCAAAGGTATATACTTACCTCTTTAAAAAGAATAATTCCAGTAAATCAGAACTATCAGAAGCTTAAGCAGAACATAAACAGAGAACATGTTCTCTGTATTCACTATGCCTTAAGCAAAAGTGTTGACTGTATAGTTTAAGTGATTTCAATTGCTACAGAGGGAGGAGGAAGATTATGAAAGTAAGGGCTGTTGTTTCGGGCAAATCTGTGCAAGTTGCACAGGCACAAAAAATTTAAAAATAGTGTAGTTACTTAAGAGTGCTATGTTCTACCCAAAGATGCTACAGTACTGAGATACCAATATTTGTGATGTGATGTAATTTAATTCACTTTATGTAATTAATTAACAGAACAGGCAAACTGATAAAATCAGTTCAGTAAATTTTAAAGATTTATATATGAAGGTAAGTATTGGAAATGAAAACTATTATACTGTTTTTATGAACGACAGTACTTCAAAGCTTCCTAATACTGAAGAACAGTGCTATGCAAAATTCAGTTATCCTGTTTCTAAGATAACAGTCACCAGCTTCAAACCTTAACTGGGGGACATTACTTATATTAATTATTCAGATTATAGTTTAAAGACTAGGATTAATTATAAATTTCTAATTTGTAGGTTGAACTAGTCATAAAAGCACATGAAGAACAGGGAGGGGCTAAGTGAAACTCCAAGATACCTTGAAAGTGAAATTATACAATAATGTCATCTATGTGCATATTGAGCAAATGTCATCTTTTAAGCTTTGAAGAATTACTGCTAAAATATGTTGTGGGGATATCTTCTGTTAATAACTTAATCTTGGATGTACTGATCTACAGTAAATTCCAGGTGGGGGTGGAAATTCACACATCCACTCTGCAAACTACTTCTGAACTCTAAGGCAGCTTCTTTTTATCCATTGCTGATGTTCAGGCTCATTTTGCAGATCAAATTCTGCTTTTAGTTGCACAAGCTTTTGGCTTATGCTAGTTGTAACTATCCTGAAGTTTTAATTGCTCTTCAGGGATGTTGTACAAAGGTTACTCAAGGCATTATCATACTACAGCATTGTCATACTTGCAGATGAGACAATAAAGAGGGAAAAATACCTTTAACAATGGGGTTTTCATGGTCATGATGACTATTGCAAGCTTATATAAATGCCATGTGCATTAAAAAAAGGTGTTTCAGCATTGGTTTTATTGGATCATCAAGAGAAGAATCTGACAAAGTATGTTAAATGTGATTGTTGTCATTTGCAGAGACCACACTTCAGCTTTGCATCATACTTTATATGCTGCCAAAGCTAAAAATCATAAAGTCCTACACTATTTTTTTCTTGTACCTGCTTTGCACTTGCCTCAGTAGCCATAATGACATGAGGTGTGAAGTACATCTCACTATATTTCAGTCACAAAACTTTTGGCTTTATGCCAAAATATCTAGAGAAACAAAAACTCATTAGGGATTGTTTCCTCCTAAAATGAGTAGTTAAGAAAGGTTAAAGGAATCACATTGACTAAAGAGACCAAAATAAGTATGTTAAAAGCTTAACATTAAGCCAGTCACACTACATCTGTGTCACTAGACTCGGTAGCGCTGGAAGTTTTCTGCGGCACTGTAGCTCAGTCATATACAGTTAGTTGGTAGAACAGTTGCTGGCACAGACTTTGGCCTGTGCACAATTTAGGAGTTGGCAAGGGACCATTTCTGGTGGGCACTTTGAACATTACCAGCTTGTTTGGGAGGTTAGAAGATAAAAATTGTGGATACAAACTACACAGTTGGCCTGTGCACCAAGGAGGCTAGATTCTATCCCTTGTATATGCAGTAAGAATTAAGCTTGAGGGAGAAAGACTTTGTCCCTCTTCTAAGTTCAGGAGCATTCTTGGAATTTAAGTGCTTCTCCAGCTTACCCTCCATCATTAGATATATGCTTGCTATAAATGCTTGCAATATTTTTTGTTAAGAAGATTATAGATGGTGAGGAAGTACTACTTGTACATCTCAATTCACTCATACTTTTGCTTATTAAAAGTAGTTGACAAATATTAGTAAGATTTAGGGAAAAGTACAGAGTCTCAGTGTCCTTGCTATCTCTCTTCTCATGGAATAATTTCACATGAAAATTATTTAAATATATATAAATATATATGTATCAGTTGGACTGAGTGAATATAATTGTGTGGAGGGCTTGAACATTAAAAATGTTTGAGTTGCATGTTCTAATGGCAAAAAACAGCATATGATATTAAAAATCAGCCTGTGACATTAAAGCAGGCAAAAATGTGTTTAGCTCAGTTTGGTAACAGAGCTAATAAACCTAGCAGCTCTTGGGAACTAAAATGCACTAAGAGCTCATCAGCTCTGGAAGAGGAAACCTCAAAGAAGAAAAGGTCTCCAAACAGAAAACTACACTGTAAATAGTGCTACTACCGAGGAGGCTACCCAGTGCTTAAGCTTTCTCATATAAATACCACAAATTGAAAGAAATCAATTTTAACGTTTTTTTTTTTCTCACAGAAAGAAATGTCGATATTTATAACGCATGCATAGTGTACTAGCCTCCCACCAAAAGTGGACCAAACTGATTTCTTCTGAGAGTTCGTTCTGAGATGTGTGGTTTAATGCCTCACAGCTCTTCAGTATAGTTTATTTTTTAACTTCAGCAGTACACATGCTGTTCAGTAGTTAGTGTTTTCAGCATAAGGCATGTCTTGGTATGTGGAGCCCTTGTTTCAGTCACTGAATACTGCATTTTGTAGTCTGATGGTGTTTCACTGCATCATCTATGCTTGATACGATCTGTTCTCGGGCTTTTTTGGTGAATCACTGTGCAAGCAGCAGGTTCTCATGCAAAATCTGTTGTGTACTAAGGGATCAATCTTGCTTTCCTGCTTATATCACTGAGGAGCAGCTGCAGTGTTGTTCCACAGCCCCAGAAGGAATCATCCCACTTGAATATAGGGCTCCCTAATCATTTAGCTTGGTCTTTCAGATCACAGTCTGGGAACAGCTGCTTCAGACAGTGCATTGCTTCCAAATATCAATCTGAATGACGTCCGCAACAAACATTTACTTACGTTCCCTCCTGATTATAACCTGAAAGGTGATATCTGTGCAGTCAGTGTCCTTTCAGGAGTCCAAAGACCTTCATGTGAAATAAAAGGGACAGAACTCTAGGCATCATAGACTGAAGCACTTTGGGTTTTCAGATGCAGGATGCAGATCTTAAGTCATATAAAGCTTAAAGGAAAAGTCAGTAACCCTTTTGTAATGCTTTGGGACTACACAACACAATGTTCTGTTTCAGTAGGGTGACTTCCCTTGCCACAGATTATTAACCTTTTGTCTGTATTATGATCAATGTGACAAAACGTTCTCTTCTCTTAAGCTTCCTCAGAGTCAGGCAGCCCCAAAACTTGCACTACACCTGCAGATCCAGATTTTTCCTTTAAAAAGTGATCTCTATAGATGTAAGGAATCTTTGGAGAACAGAGACAATACCATTGGTAGAAGGGTAAGTCATAGGATCTGGAGGAGGAGAGGTAAATTCTTAGAATAGTTAGGGCTGGAAAGGACCTTAAGATCATCAAGTTCCAGCCCCCTGCCATGGGCAGGGACACTTCACCTACCATGTCATCCAAGGCTCTGTCCAACCTGGCCTTGAACACTGCCAGGGATGGAGCATTCACAACCTCCCTGGGCAACCCATTCCAGTGCCTCACCACCCTCACAGTAAAGAACTTCTTCCTTATTTCCAATCTAAACTTCCCCTGTTTAAGTTTTAACCCATTACCCCTTGTCCTATCACTACAGTCCCTAACAAAGAGTCCCTCCCCACATCTTTACAGGCCCCCTTCAGATACTGGAAAGCTGCTATGAGGTCTCCAGGCTGAACAGCCAGAACTTTCTCAGCCTGTCTTCATACAGGAGGTGCTCCAGTCCCCGATCATCCTTGTGGCCCTCCTCTGGACTTGTTCCAACAGTTCCATGTCCTTTTTATGTTGAAGACACCAGAACTGCACACAATACTCCAGGTGAGGTCTCACAAGAGAAGAGGGGCAGAATCACCTCCTTCGACCTGCTGGTCACACTTCTTTTGGTGCAGCCCAGGATACGGTTGGCTTTCTGGGCTGTGAGCCCACACTGAAGCCGGCTCATGTTCATTTTCTCATTGACCAACACCCCCAAGTCCTTCTCCACAGGGCTGCTCTGCATCTCTTCTCTGCCCAACCTGTAGCTGTGCCTGGGATTGCCCTGACCCAGGTGTAGGACCTTGCACTTGTCATGGTTAAACTTCATGAGGTTGGCATCAGCCCACCTCACAAGCGTGTCAAGGTCCCTCTGGATGGCATTCCTTCCCTCCAGCATATCAACTGAACCACACAGCTTGGTGTCATCAGCAAACTTGCTGAGTGTGTGCAAAATCCCACTGTCCATGTCACCAACAAAGATGTTGAACCAGACCGGTCCCAACACTGACCCCTGAGGGACACCACTCGTTACTGGTCTCCAGCTGGACACTGAGCCATTGACCACAACTCTGCATGCAGCCATCCAGCCAGTTCTTTATCCACTGAGTGGTCCGCCTATCAAATTGATGTCTCTCCAATTTAGAGACAAGGATGTCGTGTGGGACAGTGTCGAACACTTTGCACAAGTCCAGGTAAATTCTCATTAATGGGTTGAAGTGCTATTATCTGTCCAGGCTAACAGACCAAAGAGACACAGTATAGTTGTTTGTCACAACAGACTGAGGATTCAGACACCTTGGATCCCATATATGACTAGCCCACAATTGGGAATGACAAGATGCATCCTGAAGTCTTCAGACTCAGGCTACATATTCAGGTCCAATACATGGTGCAAAATGTCTAACACTGGAGATCATTAATTCTATCAATCTTAACTGAAAATTTTCCTCAATAGGTTAGGAGAAAAACCCTGTTATCTGCATTCCAGTAGGAGGTGAGGTGCCAATGTGTGCTCTGGCACTTCAGCTGGTCTCTGTTGGAGTGAGATTTCATGTCCAATGATTGCTTGCAATGCTTACACCTGACTTATGGGTAATAGTTGGGTGGTTTGGCATTTGTCCATAAAACAAAGTTTCTGTGGCTAAAGCCCAAACTCACATTTCCCAAGGCAAGATTTTATCTGTCAGGGTATCAACAAGAATGGTTTATTGGTTTCCTTTCTGCCTCTCAAATTTAAGTCATGAGGAATGCAAGAATGACTCACTTTCTGTGTGAACCCTCTGAGGTTCTGTGCTTTCCACAAGGGCTGTGTAATGTGAAATACAGGAAAAATCTTTAGACCTTTAGATGCTTCTCCCCTGAAGCCACAGGCTTGCTCTTTTTCTGTAGCACGATAAATATATATATCCACTTTAGGGACTGTGGTGTTTTATACAGGAGTATGAAGTACCTATGTGTCGTTCTGCAGATGTCATAGCATCTTGCAGATTCAGGAGTACTGAATGTGATTACGTATCTCCTCCAATAAACACCAAGGCCTGCCATCATTAAGCAGAGCTCAACAGCTCATTTATCAGAGAAACAAGATAAGGAGACCCTGATTACAGGAACTAGCAAGTGTAACTCTTGCAGAATTATTTAATGGGATATTTTCTCCTTTAGCTACACAATGGCTGTTATCAGTGCTGGGGTATCCTAGTTGTGTTTCAGAGACTTGGGATGGTCTTAGTTTCTTTCAGACCTCAAAAAGTGCTTGAAATCATCACAGTTCTCTGTTAGACACATGCACACACAAACACAACTTCTTTAAAAAGCGGCAATAATGTTGGCTCTGCTTTCTGTGTTGCAGGAGGGGTTCTGGACCGGTGTCTGGCAATGTAGCTATTCAGTGCATTTATTCATAACTCACTCCAGTGTACTAGACCCCAGCCCACTTAAATCTATGGGAGAATATTCCCAACTGCAGTGGAGCCAGAAGTTCATCCAGCCTTTCAAGTTGTAGCTGTTGTACTCATGGCCCCTCTTTTTCTCACACCTACTTCATGCACAGATCAGGATTAGAGAAGAGAAAGCAGCCACACTAGAAATCACTCACTGTAACTGTCTTTAACGTAATTGCAAACTGCTGCTATGGTGAACACCTTTAGGCCTCAGAGCTACAGCAGACCATACAACCAATCTGCTTACTTCTAGCCCCACAATCATCAGCAGACCTAAATAGCTGAACTCTTTTTTCTTTTCTTTTTTTTTTTTTTAAGAAAAGATGGATTTCTAAAGCACAATTCTATGATGCATGGTGAATGCGGCTGTCAGAATTCATGATTAATAAACATCCTATTAACAGCTGGACTAGAAATCACAGAATCAAAGAATGGTTATTGTTGGGAGGGACCTTAAAGATCATCTAGTTCCAACCCCCTGACTCCTTTTGTCCCATTCATTACATTTCTAGGTAATGACAGGCCACAGTAGCCTGTCTGCAGAGTGCGCAGTTTTCAAGGAACAGCACTTTCCACAGGCAGGCTGTATTATGTAACCTCCAGCAGCAATTTTCTGTGATACTTTTATACCACTGTGGTTTGTTTTGCTTTTAAATAGAAGCTTCTAAGTGTAGTTTTGTAAGGCTGGGCTCAAATTAATACTTCTCTGCTGCAGCTTATCTGCTTGAAAGCTTCCTCCTCTGTGATACAAGCAACGGAGGCAGCGGTGGACCACACTTCCTAAGCCCCAAAGCTTGTTGAAAGCAGATGAAAATGCACACACGAAGAGGCCTGGCAGGGAGAGGGAGAGCTGCGAGGCCATATTCCTTCCACGGGGAATACCAGAGAACCAAACGCTTCCCCGCCCACCCACGATGTGAAAAGCGAGCCTTGCCAGGGTCGCTGGAGGGACTGGCTGTGGTCCGGGAAGGAGGTAGAGTGGGATGCAGGGACAAGGACAAGGACAGGGGCAGTAGCAGGGGAAGAGGCAGAAGGAACAGGGGTAAAGGCAGGAGCAAGGGCAGAGGCAGGGGCAAGGGCAGAGACAGGAGCAGAGGCAGGCGGTGAGGGGCGCGCCCCTGCAGCCGGCTCCGGGTGCCCCCGCCCGCCGGGGTCGGTGGCCCCACTCCCGAGGACGGGGACGGGCACGGTTGGCCGCGGTCCCGCCCGCCGCCGCCTGGCCCCTCCGCCCGCCGGGGCGGTGGCAGGCTCCCGCCGTGCCTCCCAGTACATAAAGGGAGGTGGCGGGGGCCGGCCGTGGGCAGCGGCTGGCGGCGACGAAGCAGCCTGTGCAAATGGAGCTGCCGGCGGTGATGGAGCAGCCGGTGATGATGGAGCAGCCGGTGCAGACGGAGATGTGGAAGGCGCAGAGCCTGGAGGAGCTGATCCGCATCCTCCACCGGCTATTCGCGGAGGACAAAATCTGCGTGGAGGAAGTACAGGCGCTGATGGAGTCGTACGAGAGCAACCCCGAGGAGTGGCTGCAGTACGCTCAGTTCGACCAGTACAGGTACAAACCACGCCGGAGCAGAAAGCCTCCGGTGCCGCGCCGCTCACCGTGCTAGCGGAGCTGGCGGAAGGGCAAAGTCGCGAACGGAGAGGGAGGACCGAGGGGATGCAGAGCAGACGCACCACTACCACCCTCTTCCCCATCCCGACCCGTCCTACGGCCCCTCCGGCAGCGCTCCGACATGGGCAAAGGGCAAAGGCCCCCGGGGGGGTCCGCGGTGGCCAGCGGCGGGGCCGGGCCGGGCCGGGGAGCGGGCGGGGCTGCAGCGGCCAATTGCAGCACCGGCGGGCGCGGGCGGTGGCTGCCCCGCACCCGCTACCGGCAGTATCACGTGTACACCCCCCACCGGCACCGCAGCAGAGCCGGCATGCCGCGGGGGTTGCGCGGCGAGCCGGGGCGCGGAGCAGACCGCACCGACGTGCGTGTTCGGTGTCCGCAGAGGAGCAGGTGCGTGCCCTGCCGCACCGGTGGGGCGGGAGCCGACCGCGCCCCACGCTGCAGCCCCTTACTCCTCTGGGGATTTTTGCTGTTTGCCGGGAGTGAGGCAAATACCCGCGGGGGTTTGGAGTCACTCCGACTTGCTAACAGCTGATTTATCACGGCCATTGGTGACTGCCCCGTCTCAGGTTTCAATATAAATATATTTTATTTGAGCACTTCGTTAAGAAAACAACAAAACTAACCGCAACAAAAAACTCCCAAACTTTTACTTTTAGCCTTACTTTCATGAAACCATCACTCTGGCTTGACTTTTTTAGCCTTCTTTAACCTCGTGTTTGCTATCCTCCATTCGGAATAAAGCACAGAATTTGCAGCAGGACGCAGGAAACTAAGAATCAGAAAAACAAAGTGTGCTAACATTAGAAGTATGTATGGCAGCCATATTTTCTTTTTTATTCCCCCAGCCGAGCCCATACAGAAATAACAGCACTTGAAAAGTTTGGTCAAAATGCCAGAATTGATTGCTTATGTTCTGGCATCACAGGAAAATATGTCTACCTAAAATATGAGCAAAATGTGGATGAGGTGAAAGGCAGCATATAGACATACATGTTATGCTTTTAAAGTAATTTGTTATGAGCCTCCTATCTTGAGTAAAATAGAGTGGTCTTATGGGAAAACTAATTTAAAACTGACATCAGTGCCCTTTCTGTGTGCCCTGCTTGCATCTCCTAGCTGAGAGTGAGGCATCCTGTAATCAGTGTGTTTGCTTTACTTGGCAAAGTAAGGTGCAAATAGTCATAACTAAAGCTGAAATGAAATCAGAAGGTCCAACTGGGTTATTTGCATTAAAACATCTAGAAGCACCAGCCCCAGATCAGAAGAGCTGCACTACAGAAAGTAATGTGTAGAGCAAAATCCCAGTCCCTTCTCAAGTGAACCTTTCAGTATAACAAGACAAGCAGCAACCCAGGGAGGCTTGCAGGGGTGTTCCCTAAAGGGAACAAACGTAAGATGTTGCTATTAAAGATATTTGCAAGCCCTGAGAGCAAATCACAGTCTAGAATATCCCTATCGGTAAAAGCATTCAGAACCAAGCTTATGCCACCTGTAAGATAGCACATGAAAAATCTTTTTAGGAAATGTTGCAGTGATAAACTTTGTTTAGAAGTAGATGCTGGCAGAAGTTATCCCACAGGTGCTTTATCAACACACAAATGCTGCAGTACAAGACACAGAACTTTCAGGATCAGACTAGGAGAACCATGGACAAAAAGCCCAACCTCTTATTTCTTTTTTGGCTTTGTACAAATGAGTGCTGCATAACAGAAGGAAAGCCAAGAATATTTGAAAAGGAAATGCAGAAGAATGTAACCATTTATTTTTCTTGTTCCACTGCAGGCCTCTGTTTCTAATTATAAGCCAGATGCTGAAGTGACTTCATTCAACAACTATTTTGATTTGATCCTGTCTACCACCCTAGTCTCAGACTCACAGTTCCCAGACTCCAATAGTCTATGTAATTCAAAAGCAATATGATTATAAAATATCAAAATTACTTTTTTTCCCCCAGAAAAAAGAACTCTTACCAAAAAATGAAGTTCAAAATACAAGTTTGTTTTTTTTTCCAAGTACAACTTGGCTTTCAAGAAAAGGTAGAAAAAGCATTCTTATACATCACAATCTTCCTTCATAAACATTTGTATGATTTTGTCTTTTGTAGGCATATCAGTACGGTAAAATGCAAACACTTTGTATTTCAGGTATACAAGAAATCTTGTGGACAGTGGAAATGGAAAGTTCAACTTAATGATCTTGTGCTGGGGTGAAGGGCATGGCAGGTTCGTATCCAAAGACTATGGGTTTAGCAAACAGACAAAAAGACACCGTATCTTTCACTGTCATAAAAAGGAGAAAAATAATCAGCCCTTTGAAAGCTATTGGAAAGCATCTGGAATCAAAGCAGAGGTATTGGTATAGCAGTGCTGAATATTTGCTGTATCTTTTGCAGGTTTGTATGTCATTGACATCTTTAGATCACTCTTTTGGTTTTCTACCAAATCTAACCTTCTCCTCTGTCAGAGGAATTTTTTAGTCCCAGAAATACAGTGGATTCCGTGGGTAGCAGGGACTGTTCAACCAGTTCCATGCAACACTTGGCTGCAGAAGCAGGACTTGGTGGTATTTACATAGTCTTTGTTCTTTGTTTGTAAGGGTGCTTAAATTCTGCCTCTATGACAAGATGAGAAAGGTAGGTTTGGGTCAGGACTGCAGGCTGTGAGGAGAGAAAACCTTTCCAGGAGCACATGGCTTTCTTTAGGTTCACACATCACACCTCTCTCAAAATGGACCACACTGCTGATGTGGCCTCCTGAGTTGTATACACAGATGGTATCCTACGTTGTTTAGTCTTACAAATGTGAGGGCAGGATCTGTCCCTTGGAGGTCTTTCACAAAATTTTGGCTAAAATAAAATATGGAATAAAAAAACTTGCAGGTTTTGACTTATTATTCTCACATATAAATAGAAAACCTAATGAGATGTTGGACCATTTTTTTGTTTGTTTTAATTGAGCGTGCAATTGAGCATTTACAGTATTATCTAGGGGATGCCATGATGTCATACTCAGAGGCATATAGGAATTGACCCCATCACCTCTAATCCTTCCAGGCTATGCCCCCAAAGCCTGTAATTTATGTCAAGCTGTGTTTGGGTTGAATGAGCATTTGCTAGAGCTAAACTGGACAGAAGGATATAAGGAAGAATATAAGGATGTAAGGAAGAAGTTCTTCACTATGAGGGTGGTGAGGCACTGGAACAGGTTGCCCAAGGAAGTGCTAATGTTCCACCCCTGGTACCCCTGGTAGTGATCAAGGCCAGGTTGGACAGATCTTAGGGTGACATGGTCTGGTGTGAGGCGTCCCTTCCCATGGCAGGGGGATTGCAACTGAGTGATCCTAAGGTCCTTTCCAACCCAAACCATTCTGTGATTCTATGATTCTATGACTAAGACCACAAGTTGGTTTTGCTTCCTGCATGAGGAGGATCAGGTTGTTCTCATGGCTTGTGGAAGGAGCGTGACAATGTGGCATTTGTGAATTGCTCTGTGCCTGAAGCAAGCTCTGCTCTCTTGGCATCTCACATTTGTTTACTGGAAACAGTAATGAACAAGAACCAAGTTTTTGACTGAAACCCATTAGCACTGTATTTCTGGGAGAATCAAATTCTCCCTTTTCCGTCCCCCTGGATGAGTGGAGGGCTCTCTCTTCTAATCACATTGACTTCTGTAACAGGACTCTACTTAAAATGCCCAAACAAGCCTGAACTACTTATCTAGCCTGTATGTCTCCAAATGTAGCAATTAAAACATACTTCAGATCAAGCAAGCAGACAAATCATACCAGATCCTGCTGTTTTGTTCATGTTTTGCCAAACTAGAGAAATTAACAGCTTACTGGAGCTGGTTGTACTTAGTACTACCAGAGCAAGAGGTACAGCACTTTTTTTTACTCAACAGATGTCTGTGCACTCCAGCAGTAAGGAGACCATAGAAATTAAGCAGAAGTAGCTCATTTCTCCCACAGTTTAGGATCTGCAAATATCAGGTATACTTGCAAGCTTATACCAGCCTCTGCCTGAGGTCATTTTGTTTCTTGACCACTGAGAGTTTTTGTGTTCTGAAGACTTTTTCTGTCCTCCTCCCTCCTCCAGGCTTCCTTTGTATTTCTCTGTGCAAAGCCATAGATGATTGAACAACATCTGACTCTCCTCCAAGTGCTGCTGTATGCGAGCTTATCACAATGCATTTCCACCATAGGAGTTTTAAGTAGGTTAAGTAGGCATGCCTTAGCGACTGTGTTGGAATGTTTTTTTCCTAAGACTTTTGTGCATGACCTGTGTGCAACAGCACTTGATTCTACGGCTGTGTCCATATGCAATATGCTATACCATCTGTCCTGAAATTGCTGTACTAAAATTGACTATGTACATCACACTGAGTTTGGTTATTCCTTTCGGGTGTATAGCAGCATCCATGATCACACCGACTCACACTGCTTTATGAAGATCCTCCAGGGAAATCTAAAGGAGACTCTGTTCGAATGGCCTGAGAAAAAAGGGAATGGTGAAATGATTAAGAAATCAGAACGAGTTTTGAGGGAAAATCAGTGTGCCTACATTAATGGTAAGTTGTTAAGCTTGTTTTGACAACTGCCGATCCATGACTTATTCCTAACAGAACAGTTCATCTGCTTTCTAGTTTCCTACCTTTAACAGCGTAATACTAATGGCTTTATGCACAGTTTAGGAATGTGACTATCTAGATTCTACACAAATGTGTTCAGTAAACCAAACAAAACCATGTTCTTTTAACTCACTCTTAAGACACTGCAGCAATCGCTTGATACTTATATAAGCTGGGTATCTCCTCTAAACCAAGCAGCCTTCAGCATTGTGTCCCTAATGTCTCTCTGAAATTACTTGGGACAGGGGTTCTCAGACTCAGTTGGGTTTTTCTGCCTAAGCAGATCTTTCCAGTGCAAGCAATTGCACCCTGTGTGCATCTGATCTAAAGATTCCTTGGTTGTTTTAAACAAATTTGGTATCCAATTCTCTCAGGCGGTTTGGATCTCTGCCATATTTTGTAACAGATGTTTTGATTTCAAAGAAACAGGTAAAACAAGTAGAAGGAAAACACTGAGTGTTGATGGCCTGAGCTACTTCAATAGTGGGTGACCTTCATGCTTCTCTTGCATGCTTCTTGATTGCTCTGTAATTTATATTTAAGGTTAGAACCCACAGTGTTTATTTGAGTTTCCCACTGGATGAGCACAGATTTAGGACTTTTTTTCCCCTATTTTCCACTATTTAGGTAAACTATGTTAACAACACTTAGGGCTTACACTTCAAACGTATCAGAGTTAAGAGTGTACTCAAGATTCTCAGAGTATCATGCCTGTGTTGCACTATACAGGTCCAGGTATTATATAGCATATTAATTCTATTAATTCAAGTACAAAGGCCTTAGTTGTTTTTATAGCAGGGTCGTAAGTTTAAATTCCAGGTCTTTTAAGTAACTCAAAAACTCAACTTCAGTGTAGAATGGAAATTATTTGTTTCATAGATGTGATTCTTCATACCTTACATTTTTATGTAACAGCTCGGTTTCTACTCCACCATCACAGAATGTGCCGTTACTTCGTTAGTAACCACATGACAGACAGTGAACAGATGTGTTCAGTTATACTTGCTATTCAGCTAAGCTTGGAAGTATGCCAGTCACTACTAATTTGTCACCTTAGTCAAAAAAGCAGACAAATGAAAAGCCTGTTCTCCAAACTAATAAACTGGAAGGATTAATTGGGAAACAGATGCCTGTAGAGAAGACAATTACTTCTCTGTCTAGAAGTGCAGACCCCAAATACACGTAGCTGACTTTTAATTTGACTGATGTCCTTGTTTCCAGGCTAAGAGCTGGCAGTACGAAAACTTCTTCCCTGTAAAACATCTTGCTAATTTTTAGAAACACAAACCTTCCTGCTTTTGGAGGAAGCTTCCTCCTCGGAACAGCAGCATCTCCTGGGAAAGCAAATAAACTTGAAGCCCTTTGGGAGTGATAGCTAGAAAACTAGTGACAGCATGCCCTTCCTTAAGTTTCTCTGGGTTTCTGTTGGCCTTTATCCTGTAGAAGATAATCCAGAAGTTGCGTGAAGTATGGAGAGCAATAACTTACGTTGAATTACCACTGCATTTAGGAATCTGTGCTGGAGAACAGCAGTCAAATTCACTGTACTCAGTTACTTGTTGCCCATAAAAATGCAGGCATGCCTGAGGGGCTTGCTTATAAGTTTCTGTCCAGAAAGCAGTTTTCCAGGTGTCTGAGACCTCATCACATCTTCTCAGTAACACAGCCTGTTGTCTCATGTCCTTGCTGGTGTAGACTCCATTGGCCTGCACCGTGTGGAGAACATCAGCCACACAGAGTCTGCCGTTAGCCTGCATTTGTACAGCCCGCCCTTTGACAGCTGTAACACCTTTGATCAGAGGACTGGACACAAGCACAAAGTCAAGATGACCTTCTACAGCCAGTTTGGGGAAAGGACTCATTGTGTAAGTATGAGTTGACACGCTGCCCACCTGGCCCTGTGCTATCTGTCCCTGTGGGGACAAGGGCGAGGACCTGTCCTCCTACCTACCCAGGGCAGAGCACCAGTGCCCCGGGACAGGCAGAAGGAAGGTCCAGCAGCCCTGCCTTTCCTGGGGCATCCCCATCTAGGACCAGCATAAAACTTGTTTCCAATACTACCTGATTTGTTGGTTTGCACTTCCCCCGTGTGGAACTGGCTGCTTTGTAGCTTCCTCCCCTTCACCAGCAGGAAATCAGTTCCAAGCAGAGAGGGGGATTACTGAGAATTCTGTCAATAGCTAAGTATCTTCAGGCAGAAAATGATAGTAAATACAAGCCAGCCAATGGAAAACTGTGAAGCAGATACATTGTTTTGGCCAGCTTAAGTCATGTGTAACGTTTCCTGCCGAAACTGTTCTGCCAAAAAGCAGCGCATTTCAAGTCATTAGTTCAAAACCTTGTAACCTACTGCAAAGAATTTTTAATAGATTTAATTGAATTCTTTGAAACAAAAACTTTGACACAGAAAGACATTCTCTGAGAGTAAAAGCAGGCCTTTTGGCTATCGGCTGCATTCTTGAGCAGTGGCGGGATATTTTATTTGGATAGAAAAGCAGTCTTAAGATTGGTTTTGGGGAAACTAGCTAGGACATCTGGGAGAGTTTAATCAGGTTTCTTTTAGCGCTCTTCCATGCATTGAGAAACATAACTACTTACACAGGAAGAAAAGACAGATTCTTGATGTTCAGCCACAGACGTTCAAGGACTGTTTGGTTTTGTTAGATACAGAGCAATTTCACCTTTCACTGAAGCCAGAAATTCAGTGCTCGGGCGTTTCCCAGAGTGAGCTTTTAGTAAGACACAGCTGAAGTTCTACATAATTGACAAGTACCATGTAGATTATTTCTTTGGAGCTTATCGCGTTACATGATTTACCAAACAACTGAAACACAAACTTTGACCTTCCCGAGTTTGAAGGGTCTTTGAGAAAGTAAATTTAAATTTGTAATTCAGATTTTAGAGGAAAATTAACATGGAAAAATGCTGAACAAAATTCATGCAAGAGTTCAATGTTTGCTTGCTTTGTTTTTGTTTTAAGTATTTACTAAATATGAGGTATGTCCAATAACAAGCAAGACTAGATGTTTTGATTTGGGCCATTTTCTTCCTCTTGATGTGTAACTATCTAGCAGCGCTTTTACCTTTTGTGTGAAACCAGATCTGGCTTTCAGGAAGGAGGTAAATCCTAGCCATTGTGTCTCTTTCATGAATTCCTGTAAATGGAATTCCAGTAAGGGGGAAAGAGGTACTGAGTCTGAGCCATACCGCTGCCTGAAATGACTTCACACTACAAAAACCTTCTGGTCTCAGTGAGGGTTTCTGGAAATCTGACTGGAAAATCAAATTTTCTTCTGCTTACCAGATCTCAAAAGGATGTAGGAAAACACAGAGCTCTAAGTTAAAAACACAGAAAGAGTAATGTAAAATATACTGGTGTATTTTACGCTTTATGAGTGAAATATCTGCCTACCTAAAGCACGTTCAGTACTTGCTCTTTGTCATAAATTTTTTTGCAGGTAAACCACACAGCTAAATCCCTAGTGGCTTCTGGCCACAATGAAGTCTTAGTTAACTAACTCTCCAGTAAATACATAATAAATTATATAGGCCTACTAATTATTATGGTATGTAGCATGTCCAGGGACTTCCCACAGAAGTAACTATTTACACAGTTTGGGTACAAGCCATGGGAACACCAATGTGAAAGTTCACTGATGGGAAACTGATTTTGTCTTGGATGTCACAGCACATCAATTCCTACTGCCCAGAATTTTGCTGGGGTAGGAGGTCTCTTTCTGCAGCCTGTCTTCCAAGCTGGATTTTCAAGCAGTTTCTGTAAAATGAAGTAGGGCGAAGTACTGGGGAGAGAAGATAGTCTGAAGGAGGAGGCACTCCTCCACTGTCCCTTCTGCCATGGGCTTACCTGTGGTCACACAGACTCAATGGACAGAGTGACTTTCTCAGGTGTCCTCTATCAAGCTCTGTAGTACTAAATATAAGTGCATTAAGTATTTTAAGGTACTGAGCTGCTCTGGGAATTAAGGCCCCTGCTGAGAAAATGAGGCAGGTGGTGTCTGTCTCTTTCCCTAAAACAGTTACCTCTCTTCTTTCCTTTTAGGCAACAGCAGTGCCACAGGAGAACAACTGAGAAGCACCAGCATGCATTTGCGTGAGACCTGCTGAATGTTTAACTGGGGACAGAAGACTTGCATGGCTAAGGCTAGCAGCCAGCTATATTTCTATACCTTGTACATAGGAGTACACTAGGGCAGCTTCCAAGCCATCCACATTTCCCCCGAGCAAATGCTGATTATGGGACACTAAGATAACTAGTGCCATAAACTACTTGAGAGGTTAGATGCCTTTTCTTAGGCTTTTGTCAGAATTAAGTAGTTTGTTTTCTGATTCTAGCCTCCTTTTAATTCCACTTCTGATACCACACTGCGAATATCAGAAATAGGGTTTATAAACATCATTTGACACTACTTAATAGGTGCATCAGTATGTATGCTCTCAATGTAATTAATAACTATATAAACTTCTAAGCTTCCAGTCACTTGTGCCTATGGGGATTACACTAGATACAACTAACAGCAGCTTCCTGTTTTTTTTAATTAAGCCTTTTAGGTTTTAGTGCTGTACGCCATTTTAATAGTTTTGTGCATTTTTTACTTTTTGTTTTTTAGAATTTCATTTGTCAGATCTTGCTCTAAATAGGAGCAGTGAAATGCTTCATGCACAATGATTTTCAAAACTGGGCAGAGATTTAAGTTTTTAATAAGACTAATCATACTTAATTCAGCTAATGTCCAGTTTCCAGCATATTCCATATAGCTACTGAAGAAGGTAACTGAAATAAAACTGGATTTGTTCACAAATTTCAAGTTTTCAGCTTTTTTTCTCCTGGCAACTAAAATATTCATCACACTTTCTGAAAATCCACATTCTTCATGAACATCTAAGTCCTTTCCAAGCAATGCACTATTAGAAGAGGCTTTAGAAAGTTGGAAATATTTCAAACATGCAAAGAATCCTGATCCCAATTAAGTTGGTGGGAGTTCTGCGTTTGAGTTCACTGATGCTTAGTTTTATCCTCCAGATTTAGTTGTAAGGAAAGAACCATCTCTAATTAAACATACCAAAATCAGAAAAGCTGCCTGCACGGGGATTATAATAAATTATATTAATTATATTATATTATATTATATTATATTATATTATATTATATTATATTATATTTATTATATTATATATTTTTTTATATATATTCTGTCTATATATTTAATGCAGCTAATAACATAGGACAAGTAGAGAACATGGAGCTCGCCTCCTAGTCTCATAGGTGACTGCAGGTTACTCCAGCAGCAGTTTAACAATATCCTTTTTAGATGTCACATACTTCCCTCCATATTGACAAGCATGGAAAATATTACTTTGTGAGTAAATATTTCCAGGAAGGCTGTGTCAAATTAAAAAAAAAAGTGAAATAAAAAGTTTGAGCAGTATCATAGTTTTTAAATGAACCTGTGCTCTTGGGCTGTGATAACTCCTTGAAGGCCAGGGGCAAGAGGGGAAAGATGGAGAAAGGGAGTGTGGAAGGAAAAGGAGGGCCTAAAGGCAAAAGAACAGAGATAAGCATCAGCAGTAACTGGGGACTGTCTGCATGAGGTGGACCTGGAGTCTGTGCGAAAAACAGGTCAAGGTAACGTGCAGCCCAAAACTGGAAGAAGCATTAGTAGCAATGGCACTGCAAACACGAAGAATCCGCTGTGCTTTCCCTGGGATACAGAATACCCCAGGGTTTAGCATGTTTCTGCCTCATTCACTCTGAACCAGATCCTGAAAAATCTTGTCAAGGATTGGGATGGAGCATCTTAATTTGTCATGGCTGGAACTGTTACGGGAGTGTTGCAGCACCAGAGGTGAATGGAAGCTGGCAGTCCAGCCATCCCACTCAGGCAAGGTCACCTAGAGCAGGTAGCTCAGGACTATGTCAAGTTGGGGTTTGACTATCTCCAAGGATGAAGGCATGACAGCCTCTCTGGGCACCAGTGTTTGATCACCCTCACAGTGAAAAAAGCCTTATGTTTAGACAGAATGCCTTGTATTTCAGTTTGCACACACTACCTCTTGCTCTCCTCCCCCTTCTCACAGGAAGTGAGCCATTTCACTTAACTAGTTTCAAATATAGCATATTTATCATGGTTTTGCTTACTAGGTAAAATTAAAGAATGAGCCAAACAGCTTGTATATCACAGGTTCAGTCAGATCAGGCGAACTGGAGAGATCAGAGAGGCAGCCAAGAGGCCCAGCAGCAATAACAACGGCTAGCTGTACCAAGACCCATTGATACAAAAATTTAGACAGTTCTCCAGCTAGCCACACACATGCCCAGCAAGTGAGACAGAAGAAATAAAAGCAAAAAGGAACATAATTATTTACCCAAGCTGTCCCAAACACTGTTTAGCCATGGTAAACATGGTATCATATGTTGCGTAAAATAATACAAGAATTTCAATGTTTCAGAACAAGGTACTTACCATGTTCTTATGTGTGCAGTAACAGAAACAAAAAGGGGTAGCCTATCTGACATAAAGGACACAAATACAGGAAACCTTGAGAGAAATGCCTGATTGAGTCTAGAATCCTTAGAACACGTACCACAGCCACCACCTTTGCCACTCCCTAAGCACTACCTATGCATCTTGTGCTCTGTACAGCACAAGCACAAAGCTAGTATCTACCAAAAGCAGTATTTAATTCATAAGTATCAACTGATACAATGAGAAATAGTCACCTTTTCACTTGCACATATATGTTCACATAACTTGTGCTGGTTTAAAACATAGAAAACATAAGAACAAAATAATATTCATACGTTATTATGGCTGAACAGCCAAGGTATTAAACTTTTTAGCATATGGAAGTCCTTGAGCTTTAAAACAGTGCTAACTGGCCAACTGATGCGGTAGCAATATGTGACTATTAGCTTTCACCGGGCTATGAACATGTTTAGTGCTTCATATGCTTTCATCTGAGAAGGTAGTAGTGAGCTGTTTCACTGTAAATTGAAGAGAGTTCAGCATTTACCTGGGTTACAGCTAAGATCCATAAGTGGTAAGAGATACTGCCTTAAACCATTAATACTACTAAATCATTCAGGCTGGCAACAGCAGGAGGAATTCAGTCTATGATCTGGTACATTAACTGAGATTTCAATGAAGGAGCTTCAGTAGGAAAACATAGCAAGACAAAGTAATGCCAGGAGTGGATTGAAGTGCAGTATTTACATGAATTCCTCAAAATGCAAAAAGGTTAGGTCATTTTGGCTTTGTTTCGGAAGAAAAGTCTTCTATCAAAATCATAGTTTACATGGGAAGGCTCTGTAGCAAAGAGTCCCTGGGAAGGCATAGGCCATATGCAAGGGAAAAGCTGACAACAGGGATTCTTTGGGGAATGGAATGCTATTGCATCCTTTGTAGCTGTGGCTGATGAGGACAAGATTCACAGAAACTCAGGACACTTGTTCTGGGAATATTCACCTCTGTATAACTAGCAGGTGAGCAGCTTTTTGTCTCCCCATACTGACATGAATGTAGGGAGCTCTGAAGCCCCTAACAGGAATCATTGCTCAGAGAGCAATAAACTGCATAAACAGTTTCTAATGTTCTTTCAGATAACTGAACCTTGAGTCTAACTCGGCATACACTAATTGGTTCGATTTGTTTCTTCTGCCGGGGTAACACTTTGTTAAGTCTCTTGATGTTTGAGCATTATTATTCTTTATTGTTGATGTACAGAGGAACACAGCAGAATCAAAATCCACCCTATATATAACCCTGCTTCCATTACAAAGCTTTTTCCCTAAACCACAAAGATACAAGATGTGCTATTCACCAGCTAATCCATATATTATTTTTTCACACTCCTCTCATGGTCAACAGAAAGCTGTGTTGCAAGACTATAGCCTTCTTGAGGTTAAAAGAGGTGACTTGCCTACAGTGACTGCAGAGAAAAGGAGAGTGACATGAAGCTCAGTATTTTTCAGCCATGCTATGTATTCTGCTCTTACCAGTTTAGCTCATGAAAGACTTTGCTGTCCTTAAATGTCAGAGTCTCTCACGTTCTGGGATGGACAGTAGCTCCAGCCTGTCTGGTAAAGGACCCAAAACCACCATGGACGGATTGTGCAAGTTTTCAAGACCAGCTCTGACCCTTTTAGCCCATATAGCTTTATTCACTGTTAGATCTCAAACGTTTGAATCCTCTGGGTACTTTACACTGCACTGTTTTTCTTCAGAGATGGGTGATCCCCAAATAGAGATCTCCTAACCTAACTGATCTTTTCTGCATGCTACTCAAGAAATATCTGGGCCATTTTTTAACAAATAATGAAACATCTTATGTCTTTTACAGATGTGTTTCCTGTTTGCTTTTACTCTCCAATTTCCTAAAAACCTTCAGTAGAGACAGATAAGTACATTGGTTCCTCTTAAAGACTAATTTCTTGACATCTGAGGTGTGCCTCCCTCCTGTTCAGAGGAATGTACAGTTTTAAAATCACTCTTATTCGCACTTCACTTCCCAGTAGGAAAAAAAGATCCTTTTCTGAACCACAAAGATAAAGTGTTTCCTGACCCATGCTTTGGTTTAATTTTCATGCCCATGTAGCTCTTTGTTTTAGATGTATATTCTTGCAGGGCCCTGTGGTCTCCCAGGTTTAGTTTAGCCAACTATTACCAGCAATGGTGAAGAACATTGTAAAACATGATGGCTAAATGTGAATTAATGCATTTCTTAGAAGATGCAACTTCATTAACCTGTTCACTTAATTCATAATCGTTTGAAAAATGTCATAAGAGGATTATGTGGCACATGCTGCTCTGATCTGTCCAGTTTCCCTGAGATACACATGAATCATAAAGTTACCATGAGTGAAAAATATATTCCCCAACCAGAGAGCAAAACTTCTGATCCAAAACAAGGTCTACCTCCAGTTCTCTGCTCCCATTAAGGATTCAGATTCAGAGCCTCAGTATCTCTGACTTTTATTTTATTTGGTTGGTTGTTTTGTTGAGGTTTTTTTAAATCACACTGTGAATGCAAAGTGTTTGATTTTCTTTGTAAATCACTGCCACTGAAAGGAGGAGCCAGAAAAAGAAAGCCTCTCTCCAGCCCCTGTAGCACATCACTTGTTTGCAACAAGCACTCTGATGAAATAAGCATGCAGAAAAATGTTTATTCCCTTGTGTCTACCTGCAGGCAAGTACAGAGCTTTGCCCTTAAGAGAACTGCAGAACAGCTCTGTGAATGCTTCGTGCTAGGGGCAGAGATGTCCTATCAATCACTCAGAGGACGGCCCTGAAAGTGCATGTCCTCAGCATAAGGACAGGCAAACCCGAGGACCAGGAATAGCTCTGGAGATTAGAGAACTACCCTGTAAATGCTGAGAGCCTGTTGCTACTACAAAGATCAAGTTCGTTTGAGGTCTGGTTACATACAGTTATAGAAGCCATAGCTTGACCCTTTCACTGGAATACTGATAAACCTCCTGGGAGGCACTCAAACCCACAGTGTATAGCTATTCCTCTCTTGTAGGGTAGGGCTCTGAATGGGCCTTGTACTGCTGATGTGAGACTATTTACCTAGCATATTCATTGGGAAAGAAAATGCATTTGTAAAAGCTTGCTTCAAAAGAAATACGCAAAATAGCCCTGTTTAAACTCAGAGGCTAAAGGAAGCCTTATCACCTTTTTGGGCTAGAACTTTATCCAGTATAGGTTGGAACAGCAATGCTGTCATCAACAGACTTACAATGTTTTACTGGTTGAAACAATGGCTCTTATTTTAAGCCTTTACTGGGACTGAGTGTTTAG